AATTCTACTATGGAGCTTTAACAAGTTGTACTTATGCATAATTTACTTGTAATATTAAATTTTAAGTAATATGCATCAATAAACAATACTTCGTGCATAAAAAATTATTTTAAGAGTTTTTGTCAAATGTTTTATAATATAGTATAGATAGTATAGATTATGTGTCTGTTTTTTGCTGCGCTGCTTCCTGTTGTTACCTGCTGGTTTTTTGGTTTATGATTTTATGCTCTCTGTTGCGTCTTTTTCCTTTCTGCCGGCTGAGTTTTAACGGCAGTTCATATCTGGTTTGCTTTGGTGCTGGCTGTTATGTTACTGTTTAATTCCAGTTTTTGGTGTTCGGTTGTCTGTACTACGCATGTTGTTCTATTTGCTGGGTAATCATCAGTTGCTATTCCATATTTGCTGCTGTTTGTTGGTTCTGGGTTTATCATTTGTTGTTGGTTTATTATTCGCTGCTGTTTTCTTCTTGCTGCTGTTGGGGCTTTATCGTGGTTTGGAGCTGCTGTTTTGAAAACAGTTTTGGTTGATCGGTTCAAGGGTGTACGGGATCAAGGGAGCTAGGTTTTGCCTGCGGCGAGGTGAAGATGGTTGATTTTGCGGATGTGATATTCGAAGAACCCTCATCACAGGATTTTGCCGATGTAATCCTAGGTGAGACGGTTTCTTGTGCTTTTCATGGAACTCCTTTGCATGGGGGTGTAAAGGAGGCGGTCTTGACGGCGATTGGGGATAATGTTGGAATTAATAAAAGGGTTCGGTGTGGGAACGCCTTTCTCCTGCAGTTAAGGGTGAACCACGCCCGTAAACTCAAAAGTCATTTGCTGCCTGACTTATTTTCCGGTCGAAAAGAGTGTGAAACCTCGGATTCTTTTTCCGTTGGAAGCTATGAGAGGTATGGCTAAATCTTTCCAGTCGATTCTTTACGTGTATTTTTTGGGACCTCGATTTCCCATTGTCCTTCGTGCGGTTCAAAATGCATGGGGAAAGTTTGGTTTCATAGACGCTATGGTAAATGAACTTGGTTATTTCTTCTTTCGGTTTAATGATGATGGTGGTTGTAATCAGGTTGTTGAATCGTCACCCCTCATGATTAGAGGGATGCCACTTTTTGTCTCAACATGGGACCCTTCAAAGGGWCTTCATAAACCTGAGCATTCCTCATATCCTTTATGGATTAAATTTTATAACATTCCTCTTGTTGCGTTCAATAGAGAGGGTATTAGCCGTATTGCAAGTGCAGTTGGAGTTCCTTTGCATTTGGATGCTTGTACAGCTAGTACATGTGATAAAACTTGGGGAAGAACAAATTTTGCTAAAGTTTTGGTGGATGTTTGGGCCGTGGGTGAGATACTGCGGCAAATCGAAGTGGTAATACCGAGGCTTTCGGGTAGTGGCGAAGATATGATAAAGGTGGTTTTGGAGTATGATTGGGTGCCATCCCAATGTTCTAAGTGCAAAGTTTTTGGACATCGTACGTCTTCTTGCATGAAAGGGGATATAAGAAAGCAAAAGGAGAATTTAATGTCATCAAGTAATGATGGTTTTAAAGAACCTAGAAGAAAACATTGGAGGCCGAAGACTACTTCTGGACCTAGTACTGGCGCTCAGGCAGCTACTTCAGGTGAAGTTTCTATGACTCCTGATACGTTAGTTAGTGTTGGTACCATAAAGCAGGTTAATGAGGTACCGCCTTTCTCGGTCATGGCTCAAAAGGATAAAGATGTTGTCAAGACTGCTGCTTCGGCAGTATTAGTTGGGGAAAGTGTGGGACATGTGGAGAGTCAATATTGTACTGTGGATGCTGGGAGAACGCCAAGAGGAAGAGAAGATCATTCGAATGTAACACTCCCATCAAAGGGGGGTCCGGAACTTGTAAAAGTGGTGGTTCATGCATTTCAGCCGAGACGTGGTGTTGTAAACTCCACGTCTACTAGTAATCGGTTTTCCTCATTAGTTTCTGACGACTCTAGTGATGATGATGATATGGAGATAATTGATACTGAGGGGCATACTGTGGAAAGAAGTAGGGGGGGAGATATTCACTTCAGATTCCCAATGATAAAGTTTGCTTCTTGGATTATTAGGGGTCTAAATGCCCTAATAAAGCAAAAAGAGGTACGTGATCTTATTCATGTAAAGAGTCTTTCTTTATGTTGCATCATTGAGTCTAAAGTTTTACCAAGTCATCTGGGAGATGTATGTGGTAGAGTGTTTGGTAGATGGAGTTGGATCACAAATGGTTTAATGTGTGATCAAGGAACTCGTCTTATTATTGCATGGGACCCGTCTGTTTTGTCCTTGATATTGATTGAGCAGCATTTTCAATATGTACATTGTGAAATTCGGATTATTGGTCATCCTGAGCCCATATTTATTACATTTGTTTATGGATGTAACACGGGAGTGGAAAGGAGGGATCTTTGGCGGGATATTGGAAAATTCAATGCTTTTACTCATAGGAAAGCTTGGATTGTGATGGGTGATTTTAATTCAATGCTTTTCCCCCATGATGGGTTGGGTGGATCTTCTAGACATAACTCGGATATGGAGGAGTTTCATCTTTGTCTGGAAGAGGTAGAGCTTTTTGATATCACGTACCAGGGGTGCCAATATACTTGGACGCAGAAACCTTCTGGGGGAGAAGGTATATTGCGTAAATTAGATCGTATTTTGGGAAACTCAGTGTTCATTGACAGATTTGGGGACGCCTCTGTTTTCTTTGAACCAAGGGGGATCTCTGATCATTCTCCGGGCATTCTTTCATTCAAAGTAGGGAGACGAGTTAGACAATGTGGTTTCAAATTTGATAATTTCGTGACTTCTCATGTGGATTTCCTTAAATCCGTGGAGGGTGTGTGGATAAAACCTCAGAAAGGGTCTTATATGAAGAAAGTGCTCCGAAAAATGCAAGAGATGAAAGGGGTTTGCCGTCGGCTTAGAAATTCATATGGAAGTCTGGATAAGAAGGTGGCTTCTTTAAAGACGGAACTAGATGTTGCTCAATTGGCTTGTGATCTAGATCCGTTTAATGATATGCTGAAAGARGACATTGCTCAYCTCTTGTTAGCATATCAAAAAGCCAGGAATGATCAATTGGAAATGGTTCGWCAWAWAGCAAAGATTTCTTGGTTAAATGAAGGGGATGGTAACTCTAAGTTCTTCTTTCATGCCATGAGAGAGAAGCGTAATAGGAGCCATATTGCTACTATTACGGATTCTTTTGGTACTGTTTTTGAACATCACRATGTTCCAAAAGCATTTGTTAATCATTTCGAAGGTATTATGGGTGCTTCTAATACGTTGGTTCATCCTTCTATGGCGGATTGTTCTTTTGCTCACTCTTTATCGTTATCGGACTCTCTGCATTTAATCAGACCTTTTACGGATATGGAAATACAGAATGCTCTTTTTGATATTGGGAATGACAAGGCTCCGAGTCCTGATGGGTTCTCGTCAAAGTTCTTTAAGGCGGCTTGGAGTGTGGTTGGTAGGGATGTTCTTATTGCGGTATATAATTTCTTCTACTCAGGAAATTTAGAGTACCAGTTGAATCATACTTTGCTTTGCTTCGTTCTGAAGGTTCCTAATGCTTCTTGTGTAATTGATTATCGACCCATCGCCTGTTGTAATGTGTTGCTTAAATGTATCAGTAAAATTATTGCTGACAGGATGAAAGGCTCATTGGATGTTCTTATTAGCAAGGCTCAATCTGCGTTCATTCCTGGMCGACAGATAACTGATAATATTCTAATGGCGCATGAGCTTGTAGCAGGTTACCAGAAACTCCAGGGGGGCGCCAAAGTGTGCATTTAAGATTGATATACGGAAAGCTTATGATACAGTTGACTGGCAATATCTTCTTGGGATGCTAAAGGGAATGAGATTTCATCCAGTTATGCTTAATTGGATTAAGTCTCTAATCTCATCGCCAACATTTTCTATATGTGTTAATGGACAGCCGGAGGGTTTCTTTCATGGAAAGCGGGGACTTTGACAAGGGGATCATTTATCTTCTTACTTGTTCACGGTGGTTATGGAAGGATTGTCGATGATTTTAAGAAAATGTATTGAGGAAGAGGTGAATTTTGCGTACCATCAAGGATGTGCTGATATCGAGTTGACCCATTTACGTTTTGCGGATGATCTTTTTATCTTTTCTCAGGGGGATGCTACATCAGTTGAAGTGATAAAACGAGCCCTCCAATTGTTTGAGGAACGTTCGGGTTTGTCACCGAGTCTTGAAAAAAGTGAAGTGTTTTTCGGGAATGTGGGGTTAGATGTTCAAAATATCATTCACAACTGCCTTCCTTTTCGTCCGGGGGTTTTTCCTTTTCGCTACCTTGGAGTTCCTCTCTCTCCAGTTAGATTGAAGGTACGTGACTTCAACCCTCTTGTGATTAAGCTTAAATCTCGCTTGTTGAACTGGAAAAACAAATTTCTTTCTTATGGGGGTAGACGACAGCTCATCATCTCTGTTCTTCACTCTATGCAAACATTTTGGATGTCGATATTTCTAGTACCGGCGGCCACAATCCATGAAATTGAACAGTTGTTCCGTAATTTTTTATGGAATAAAACGGAGGGTGAGCTGGGAAAATGTCGAGTATCTTGGGATAGGGTTTGCTTACCTATAAAAAATGGTGGACTTGGTATGAAAAGACTAGCACTTTGGAATCAGTGTTTGCTTTTTAAACATATTTGGGATATTCTTTCTAGAAGAAATACCATGTCGGTCTCTTGGATTCATTCTCATTGTATTCGGGGAAGAAATTTTTGGATCATCAAGAAACGGAATGAATGATCGTGGCTTGTCCGGAACCTTTTAGAGTTAAGACCTCATTGCAGACGTTTTTTCATTTCTAATGTGGTTGGGAAGACACGTGGAGTGATTTTTGTCCCCTGATTCACTTGTTGTCTTACAGATTCATAAATGGTCATGACTTTCATAATAACTCTACGGTATATGATCTAATGCAACGGTTTGGTAATGATTGGCCGGTTGAATGGATTCAACGTTATCCCCAGCTGTAAAGTATTAAGATACCATCTTGTTAGCTCTCATTTCTTTAAATGTAAAAGTATGGAAAAAGTAATACTACAAGGGTTGACAGAAGATGATCTGTCACAGAAGACCA